TATAGCCAAGGAGGTAAGGCAACAATTAAGTCGAGCTATAGATGAAACTTGTGAAATAGTTCTCTACGGTCTTGTGTACTGGTTCCGTATATGGGACCACGAATACAATCTTAAACCATCAGCTCAAATGTTTAAATGGCTCGACTTTCTCATTAAAGATATCGAGTCTAATTTATTGGATTCCAAACCTTTGGTATACCTCCTTACTCATATACGTACTGGTTACTACGATACAGATATTGAGCACTTTAATTGAATGCTTTTTAACTATGTGTTTAAATAACAAATTTGTTTATTTTTAGAAAGCAATAACAAAAAAATAAATAACATTTTCTAAAAATAAAACAAACATAAATAAAGTAATAAATTAATTGAATTATAATAATTCAGTCTTCCTCCTCTGAGGTTTTGTCTCTTCTTTAATCTTAATTTCTTTCTTATTCTCTTCTTCTTCTTTTAATTCTTCCAATATTAATTGGTTCTTCTTTTTAAAGGTCTTTATCTTCTTACTTAACTCTTCTATTACATCAATATGCTTATTAATTACATTACTAAGCATATTTAAAGGAGTTTTTTCGAATGAAATTTTAACTCCTTCGACAAGCGTTTGAGCACTAATACTTACTTCTTCTATTCCTTCTAATAGCTGTGTAAAATCACTTAATGTGATCGTTCTGTAATCCAACTCGGTTTCGTCTTCTGATTTACTAAATCTGTGGGGTATATCTCTGGATGGTGTACCGTACATGGAACTATGATATGACCATATCTAGATGGTAGGGTCATTAAATATTAGTATAGTTTATTATCTAACTATAATTTAACTATAATGTATATCTAACCCTATCTAAGATCTCGTTAGGATGACGTTTCCCGAATTCTTACGAGAATTCAACACTAAATATTTGGGACAATAAGTAATGACCTCATAACTAGTATAGTAAAATATAGTATATTTATAATATATCTATTTTTAGTATACCCTAGTTTTTAATTTACCCTAATTTGCCTATATTACTTATTGTCACAAATATTTAGTGTCACAATGGCGCTACGCGCCATACGCACCGAAGGTGCGTTGTGACACTAAATATTTGTGACAATAAGTAATATAGTAAAAATTGTGACTGTTGATGTCATCACTTCATTCTTAATTATAATATACTATTCTTATTTATGTAATTAATCATAATTGTTTATTATTATTATCAATTTTATTTTTTGTTATTCATCTTTTGTTATTCTTCTTATCTTTTTTATCATAATGAATGTAATGAATAAATTTGTTGATTAATCTCATTTCGTTATTGTGACCCTTATCAATACTACTTAATTCTTTATGACATTAAAATATTAATCATTCTTTACGATGATTGGTGTTATATAATGTATCTTCATTATTATTATTTATATTATTTATATTTAATATATTATTTATATTAATATTTATATACATGTTTAAGTTGTATTGAATATTCTTTTAATTTTTTGAAATTTAATTTGAAATTTCTTAATGATGAATAAAATTTAATGAAGATGAAATACTTTCTGGATTTTCATATATATATATAATATTTATAATTATGAATAAATAATTAATTATATAAATACAATTATGATATATGTATATATCATATTAATTATATATATAATAATAGTACTATTTATATCATTTCATTCATTTTTATTCTTTCATTTTACATTTTATTCTTATTTTCTTTCATCTGATTATTGTTTTATTCATCATATTCTCTTATTTATTCTTATTTCTTATTTATTTCTTTTTTTATTCATTTTTATTTATTATCTATTTCTTATTGTTATTCATTTTTCTCATTTCTTCATTATAAAGATACTGTCATTTCTTATATTTTATTTCTTTCATCTTTTTATCATCATCTTATCATTTAACTTATTCATATTCTTATTAATCATAATCTCTTTAGTAGTTAATTCAATTAATGTTTTTGATAATAAGAAATAAAATGGTAAAGAATAAATAGAATTATTATATTAATGATAAAAAATGAATATGATAAAATCCATGATATATGTTGAGTATTTATAATGATTTATTAATTTTTAAGTATTCATAAAATTGAACAATTAAAATTTATGAATTAATAAATGAAATGTTCATATTTATGTTATAATTTATGTTTTCATAAGTATAAAATATTAATTTTGTATGATTTTTCAATAATTCATAAAATGAAATAATTTTATTCTTATATAAAAAGATAACTATTATTTATTTCATATTATTATTAAATAATAACTCTATCATCATTTATATTCTCTCTTATTTATTTATTATTTATATTCTTTTTATTTATATTCTTTATTACATCATTATTATGTTTATTATGTTTATTTATTTCTAATATTCTTTCTTTTGTTCATCTCTCTTTCTATTATTATATCTTATTATTTTATTATCATTATATTTTAATTAATTTATTATTTTCTCTTTCATTCTTCATTGAAAAATAAATAATTTCATCATTCTTTATTATGATATTGAAAATACTCAATATCATGTACATATTAATTCAAAATAGAAATGTAATAATATAGAAATGATATAAATCATGAAGATATTATATTGATATTTAGTAATGTAATTCAACAAATTAATAATTTTATTCAATTATCTATAAAACAAACACTCAAAAATTGAGTTATGTACTGTTATTCTTTGTGTCAAAAGTATTTCCAAACAATTATAATAATCTTATTAATGTTATAAAGAATGAAATAAATAAATATAATAAAACAACAATACAAAATGTAATTAATTGAAAATCACAATGAATTGGTGGAATTGTAAATAATGTTTAAAGTGATATTTGATTAACAACTAATGGAATTTCTCTAACTGAAAATATTTATGAACAAATAGTTTTTGAATTAAGAAGAATAACATGAATATTTTAAAATAATAATAATACAAAGAATGAATTGATTAATGGGAATATATTGATGAATAGAAAGAAATATTCATTGATATAAACATTTGGTCACGAAATTATGCATTTCATTCGTATTCATCATTATGTTATTATATTGATTTGTGAAATTGTTAATTATTTCATAATTGATGTCTAAATATAATGAATGTAAACATTGATTGATTAAAACATGGTGTTTATGTTGGATAGATCATTGAAATGAATTATCATAATGCAAAATAATTCTTGTTAAATGTTTAAAAGATAAAAAATAGTAGAAAATATTATTAGATGAAAATATTTGTGATTAAATATGAGAAGAACATATTTGTATATTATTAGTTCTATCTTTCTACTTCGTTCTCTGTATTAAATGAATATATCTGTTGATGAAATTGAAATAAAATAAAAATAAAATGATAAATGATAAAAGAAAGAATAAAGAAAATAATAAGAAAATAAATATAATGATTAATGATAAAATTAATGAATTATTATCATGAATGAAAGTTGAATATGAACATTAAATTCATTATTATTAATTATAAATGTTTAATTTATAATACATATTAAATAGTCATTCTTCATTCTATATTATTGTGTTGATGTTTAAATTATTCAATTTGTTATTATTATATCATCACTTTATTGATACTTCTTATTTATTATCTTTTTATTTGTTTCATCATTTAACTCTTGTTTGATATGATAATATAAATAATTTACATTGTATATTATCATCATTCATCATTGATAATCATCTGTGATATAATTTAATTTTCATATCAATAAATATATCATTTAAATAAATAAATAATAACATCTATTAACATATCATTATGACATCTCATCAATGTGATAAATGAAATGTAACATATTTACACATTAATAACAATACGATTGATATTCATATTTATATAATCATTGTTATTCATAAATAACATTATAAATTTGAATTAACATAATATTCTTCTTTATTATTTTTCATAATGATATTTTCACATTATAATAGATTTGAAGGTAAATGAAAAGAAATAAAGAATAATATAAAATGAACACAATTATGAATGAATATACTCAACAAGTCAAGATACATCATACTCAAAACAACAAGAAGTTACAAAATGTCAACTGATTGTTATAGAATTTGTATTTTACCTACTTTTTATTTTATTTTATATTTTAATTTTTGATTTGAAGGTAGCACGTCAGAGACACCACACAGTTCCCTAAAATATTTCCATCCCTCGATCCCTCCCAGTTATGGACTGGTTATGACGTTGCGTTTGGTTAGAAAAACATCTTACCCAGTACTGCAAGAATAGCAGTGTTTGTTATGTACAATGACGGAATATCATTGACAATAAACGAATGGGTATTTATAAAGATGTTATTATTACTTGTTAGAACACAAGTATATTTGATAATATAAGAAAGATTATCAAAGAAAAAGGGTCAAGTGGATGAGGCTAAAAGAATATTAGCCTAAAGTAATACAGTGGTAATTATATACTCTCCTTAAAATAAGAAAATAAAGAAGAAGAAATTTAAACCCAAAGAAGAAGAAATTTAACCTCGAAATTAAAAAGAAATTAAATAATGAATATTTAAATAAGGGAGGTTTAAATACTCTATTCCACATCAAAAATGAGAAAAGAAAATTCTCACCGTTCAACAACTAAAAGCAAAGAATAAGGCAATAGTTGAAGAACAAATACTTTTAAGCGAAGGGATGTGATTAGTCTCCCCTGAGCAAGGAACAATAGAAGATATTTCTATTAATACTTAATTAACTACTTTTTATTTTATATTTTAATTTTTTAAGAGAAAATAATAGAAAACAGAACAATCTAATATTCAAAAAATATATTACACTATTTTCATTTAAGCATTTTATTTAGATTCATAACTTCTTCACTTATTTTGGTTCCCCTTTAACTTCTTGTATTATTGGTGGTCGTTTACCTGTTGTGATTGATTCTGCAATATCCCATGGATGTGGATGTAATGTTTTAGGAAATGGACCTTCCCATGTAATGATTTGTAACATTGTTATTGAATATGAATATATATCTGATTCCATTTTATAATGTTCTCAATTTAATATTTTTGGTGCCATGTATTTTGGTGATCCTATCCCTTTTGTGAATGTCATATTTGTCATCATCATATTAATGTTTCTTGATGCTCCAAAATCTGTTAATTTACAATTAACTCCAATATTATCATCAATTGATACAACAAGAAAATTATCTGGTTTAATATCTCGATGTAGTATTCCATTTGAATGAAGATATGAAATTCCTTTTGCTCCATCTATCATGAATTTAATTCTTATTTTATTAGGTATTTCCGTATTTGTTCTTTTATTAATTAAATCTTGTATTGATCCATATTTTGCATATTCTGTTATCATACATATTTTATTAGGAATAAATACTGCTCCATAAAAATGAATAATATATTCACTTCGAATTTTATCTAACATCATTACTTCTTTCTCAAATTCTTTCATTTTATCTTCATCTTTATCAATTTGTTTCATTTTCTTAATTGCTACTTGATTCCCTCTAAATTCTCCTATATATACAATTCCAAATGTTCATTCTCCTATTTTCTTTTCTTCTTTTATTTCATCTGGATCAAGTCGTGTTGATATTTGTGTTTCTCCTTTAATTGAAATACTTTTAATTATTTCTTCTTGTGTTTTATTAAGTGTTTTACTAATTATCATCATTTGTTCTTTAATTTTAGTAGTACATTTGATTGTAATAAATATTTCAAATTCACATGCATATCCTCCTTCAATTGTAATGATATTTGGGTTTGTTCTAATTGAATATTTTTCATTTTCTTCTTTACTACTTATTTGTATTTTCTTTTTTTTTCTTTATTTTCATTTCCAATACATATTAATTCTCTGATTTCTTTATTTACTTCAATTTCTTCTCCTTCTCCTATTTCTATTTCTTTTTTATTTGTTATTATTCCATCTCCAAGTGATATGAATTTGATATTTGATTGTGAAATTTTAAATATTGTTGTTGTTTTCTCTTGTTCTTTCTTTTCTTTGAGTTTTATAATGTAATTAATCATTGTTATTATAATTATAATTATTATAATGATGATAATAAGTATAATGATGATAATTATCATTATCATCCACCATACAATTTCTTTATTACATTTTGTTCCTTCTTCATTGATTCCATACCAAAATGAACATTTTGAACATTTATTATTTTTTGTTTCTTTACATTTATTAATATTTGAATAATGAATACATTCTTTATTTATTATTATATATTCATCTTCACATGTATTACATTCTTTCTCATTTAAACATGTTATACATTTATTTCCACATTTTGAACATTCTTTATTTATTAAATAATATCCTGTTAAACATTCTCTACATCCATATTCTTTATCTATTTCTCCTTTACACCCTTTAATTGTTGTTGTTGATTTACATATTCCTGTTGAACTCATAAAATATCCTTCTCCACATATTATACATTTATCTTTTTGATTACATGTTAAACATTCTTTTTCACATTTTGAACATCCTTTCCCATTTCTATAATATCCATTCTTACATATTCCACATCCACTTCCATCTGCTAATATTCGTAAACATGTTCCATTTAATTCTTCATTTGATTGACATGTTTTATCATTTCTTAAATATTTATCATTAGAACAACTCATACAATATGTAGATGTTCCATAACATGTTTCACATTTATCATCACATTTTAAACATTTCTTATCTTTTGTTAAATAATATCCTTCTTTACATCTTTTACATCCATATGTATTTTCTTCTTCACAATATTCTATTTTTGTATTAATACATTCTCCTTTAAAATTAGGTGAATATGTATTTGAACATTCAACACATTTTCCATTAACATATGATTTATTTAAACAATTTTGAATATTATTATTACATTTTCCATTTTGATCTTTTATCATATCTTCTTCACATGTTTTATTTATACATTTATTATTATCTAAATATTCTTCATATTTACATTTTATTTCAATATCATTTGTTTTACATATTTCTGATTTTGAACATTCTATACATTTATTATTATTGTCAATGTATTTTCCATTTTCACAATATATTTCTTCATTCTTTCCATTTTGATTCTTTTCTTTATTTGAACATTTTTTATTGTTTAATGTATATCTATTTGAACATGATACACATTTATTTCCTTCATAATAACATTGATCTTCATTATCTCCATTACATTGATTATTTTCTATTTTATATCCATTTGAACATTTTAAACAATAATTTCTTTCTGATTTATTACATTTATTATCAATTTCTTTACACTCTCCTTTTTCTTTAATAAATCCTTCTTTACATTGATAACAATATGTTTTATATCCTACAATACAATTATCTGGTAATATTTGACATTCTTTATTTGAATTTAAATAATATCCTTTTTCACATTCAATACATTTAAATTTTTTATTTGTTTTACCAGTTAAAACAATACAATTTGATAATTGACCATTTAGTGTTACTGTTTCATCAAATATCATTATATTATTATTACCATTATTATTAATATTTATTAATTGTGTTGATGAAGAAGAATTAGTGAAATAATAAAGAGAATTATTAACAAAAGAATTACATGTGAGAATACCATTTATAATTAAAGTTAATGGTTTATTTGTTGGATTTAATGAATGTTTTAGTTTATTATTTCCATTCATTTCCAATATATTTGTAGTTGAATTGTATTTAAATTCTGAGTTATCATTCTTTTCTCTATTATTTGTAATTTCAAAGTTATTAAATTATATCTTTTGAGTATACTCTTTGATTGATGAAACAGGTGCTATTAATAATGTAATATCATCATTAACATTAATTTGTTTATCTGAAATAAAATTATATAATATAATATCATGATCAATATTAAGAGTTGTATATTTAATAATATTATTATTAAAATCTACTGTGTTTAAATTTTGTTGAATATTAAGAATACATTCAGTTTCACCACTATCATCACATTGACAATGTGGATAATTGAATAGTTGATTACCATTTCCTGAATATGATAAATTATAATTATTACCATTCATTGTACAAGTAACACTTGTATCTAAATCAATTCCATTTGGACAAAATCTCATTAATCTATTATTTGATATTAAATATGCTTTACCATCTGACATATCAAGTCCATTCTTAAAATCTTCTGGTAAATAATGATCATTTGGGTTTTTATTAATTTCAAATGCACTGTTATCATTAAATGACGTCACATCAAAACATCGTTTATTATTAACTGGATTATTAATTATAAATTTGTTTATAGATTCCCCATCTTTAAAAAGATGAATATAATCACTTTTCAAAATAATTAATTGTGGTTGATTTAATGATGGTGTTGTTTCAAATGTAATTGAATGTTTAAACGAAACATGACCAATCCAAAATAATATAAATTTTTTTCTAAAGATAAATTCATTATATGTATGAAATCTTCCATATAAAGTAATTGAGATTTATCCATAACTTCAATAACATTTGCATCCCAGTAATCAAATGAACTTGTCATTGTGAACTTACCATCAAGATATGTTCTGTTACAATTGAAAGCTAAATCAGAGTAAGTGAAATTCTTGTTAAAATAATATGAATAATTGTTTGAGAGTGATTCACATTGTTTATCTTTTCCACTTTCAAATCCATCTTCAAATTCATGTCCTATTTGAATACAATCATAGTGTTCAGCATTAATACAATTAATTAACATTATAATATAAAACATTAACATAAATAATGATGAAAAATACGAGTATGAGATTATTTTTGTGATAATTTACATTGTTTCTTTCTTTTTTGTCATTTTGAATCTTTTGTTGAATTTTGTTATTTTATATATAAATAAATCAATAATAATAATTTATTATTTATTATTATTATTAATTAAAATCTTAACATTAAAAAATAGAAAACATGAATTTTTAATAAAACAGTGTTATTCTCAATAAAATCATGATTTGATTTATTTAATTACTCTTTATCATCTCGTCATTCCATTCATTTGGTTATTCACTATTTAGATTATCCAATAAGTAAATACAACACATATACTAAATAATAAAGCATTAATAGTGTGTAGTATTTAGATTTAATGAAACTGTGAAAAACAACATATCAATTGTATTAACTTTATGTACTTTTAATAAAGAATTGAATAAACAAAACTCTTTGATACAAATTAGAACAAATGAATAAAGGTATAATAACAAAAACAATAAGAAGGATAAGAAAACGATAACTCTTTCATAAATATCTGTTCATATAATAATATAACAACTAAACAATATTATAATATTTTTTTTAATTAAGTATTAATAGAAATATTTTATATTGTTCATTGTTCAGTGGAGATTAATTAATCCATTTGCTTTAAAAGTGTTTATTCATCATCTATTAGTTCATTCTTTGATTTTAGTTGTTGAATTATGATAATTTCATTTTCTCATTTATTTAATGTGGAATAGAGTATTTTAAACATCAATTATTTAAATATTCGTTATTTAATTTCTATTTGATTTGATGGGTTTAAATTTCTTCTTTATTTTCTTATTTTAAAGAAAATATATATTTACTACTGTATTGCTTTAGGCTAATATTCTTTTTAGAATCAACCACTAAACCCTTTTTCTTTGATAATCTTATATTATCAAATATAATTGTATTCTAACAAGTAATAATAACATTTTATAAATACCCATTCTTTTATTATCAATGATATCACATCATTGTAATTAATAAACATTGTTATTCTTGTAGTATTGATTAAGATGTTTTTCAACTAAATACAATATTATAACCATTCCATAACTAGTAGATTTAAATGATGATAATATTTTAGGGTATTGTGTGGTATATCTGACATACCATATTCGAATCATAAAGAAGAATATAATAATAAAATAAGATATATTCATTCTTATTTTTATTATTTATTATATTATATTTTATTGATTTTTATATTGATTTTTATCTTTGATTATCACCTTTTATTTCTTCTTTTTGTCATTTTTTTCTTTTCTAATCATCTTTCATTTCTTATTTTTATTCTTGTTACTATTATTTTATATTAGATGATCTTTTTATCATTTTATATTTGTTTATATAGTTTGTTTATATTTTATTATTATTATTATTTATTGTTGTTTATCTTATATTATTTATTTATTATATGTTGTATTGATATTTAACAATGTTAATATGAAATGAATAATAATGAATAAATATAAAATAAGAATAAAATGATATAAGAATATAACATAAATAATAAAATAAGAAATATATAATAGATATAAAGATAAAAGAAGAAGAATAAAATAAATAAATATAAAATAATATAAATAAAATAAAAAATAAATAAAAAAGAATAAAATAAATATTTTATTATATTTTTATTTATCTTTTATTCTTATTTCTTTTTATTATTTATTAAATTAACACATTGAATATGATTCTTTCAAATGAAATAAAACAAGAATGAAATATGAATATTTTTATATTCATCATTTCATTTATTGATAAATGAAATGTTCATATTCATTTATTGATTTTATTTTATATTCTTTTTTATTTTTATATTTCAAATAAATAATAATGAATAAAAATCATTTCATTTCAATTACAATACTTCGTTGTGGTGTGAAATAGTGTTTTCCACAAAGTGTATTTGATATTCCTTTATATGAAAATGACCATTGATAACAACATGAATTTGTTTTATTATTTTCTTTACAAACAACAATATCACCACCAATTAATCCACATCCAAATCCAAACAAATAATCACTTGATTGATTAAATAAAATAAATGCAAATCGTGGTTTTTTAATATCAAATTTCATCATTCCTTGAATTCTTCCTTTTGATTTTAATGAAAATAAAAATGATTTGGGATCATTTATACAATCAACTTTATCAATTTTCTCATTAACATATCCTCCAAATTTATTTCCTTCTGAATCTTCAATAATAATTATTATATGTTCTTTATTCATTATTCTTTGATTAAATACTGATGTTTTCTTATTCCAATCATCAATATCTGAATCAAATAATATATTCGATACTTTTCTATTTGTCCATTCTTCTAGTTGTTTCATTTCTTCTTTTGTATTCATTCCTTTCATTATTCTTAATCTTTCTCCTTCTTGTTTCTTTCTTTCTTCTTCTTTTCTTCTTTCTTCTTCTTGTTTCTTCTTTTCTTCTTCTTCATCTTGTCTCTTCTTCATCTCAAAATAATCATTATAATATGTGTTCCATTCTTCTTTCGTTTTATTAAATGATTGTATGATTTTATCTGTTTCTTCGGGTGTTCTGAATATTTTATTTTTCATGTTCATTTCTTCAATTGAAATAATTGTATTGATTATTTCATTCCGTGTTTTACTTAGTATTTCAGAATCTGAATTACTTTCTTCTATTATTTTGTTCATTTTATTTTTAATTATTTCTATTTTATTTATTGTTTCTTGACTTTTTGTTATTATTAGTTTTCTTCTTCTTTCTGTTTCATCAATCCTATCAATTATTCCTTCTCCTCTTTTAATAGCTTCTGAATATGTTTCATTGTCTTGTATTTCAAATATTTCATTTTTAATACTTCCTAAATAATAATTATAATATTTATTAATATCAACAATTGATTGTTGAATATTTGGAAGTGTTTCTATTTCTTCTTTAAAGAATTGAGTGTTCTTGTTTATTAACTCTTCCATTTTAATTTAATGAATATCAGATTAAAATCAGATGATTAAATACTTAAATACACGTTTATAACAATCATTTTATTTATTATTTTATTATTTTAATAAACGTCATTTCATTTTATTAATTAAATTAAATGTTATTTATTTTATTATTTTAAATAAAATTATGGATTCGAAGATATCACGTCAGAGATACCACACAATACCCTAAAATATTATCATCATTTAAATCTACTAGTTATGGAATGGTTATAATATTGTATTTAGTTGAAAAACATCTTAATCAATACTACAAGAATAACAATGTTTATTAATTACAATGATGTGATATCATTGATAATAAAAGAATGGGTATTTATAAAATGTTATTATTACTTGTTAGAATACAATTATATTTGATAATATAA